GTGTAGGGAAGGTGGGATGGGTAGGGGAAGGGTAATAAGGGAAAACAAAAACGTGAGATAAAGAAAAGATGGAAATAAAGTGTTTGTAGATGGGGAGGGGAGGAGGGGGTGAAGGGGGCCAGGGACAAGGGGAAAAAATGAGAACCAAGACCTGTCATGTAAAGGTACAAGATCCCAATGATGAATGTAACTGTACTGTATACCTGAAATGTACCAATAAACTCAATTAAAGCTGAAAAAAAAAAGAAAAGAAAAGAAAAGGGCTAAAGGTGTAGGGAAAGTGGGAAGGGTGGGGGAATGGTAATAAAGGAAAATAAAAAAAAATGAGAAAATGAAAAAATGGAAATAAAATGTTTGTAAATGGGGAGAGGAGGAGGTGGCAAAGGGAGGGCAGGGACAAGGGAAAAAAATGAGAACCAAGACCTGTCATGTAAAGGTACAAGATCCCAATGATGAATGTCTGTACTGTATAAAAAAAAGAAAAGAAAAGAAAAGGGCTAAAGGTGTAGGGAAAGTGGGAAGGGTGGGGGAATGGTAATAAAGGAAAATAAAAAAAAATGAGAAAATGAAAAAATGGAAATAAAATGTTTGTAAATGGGGAGAGGAGGAGGTGGCAAAGGGAGGGCAGGGACAAGGGAAAAAAATGAGAACCAAGACCTGTCATGTAAAGGTACAAGATCCCAATGATGAATGTAACTGTACTGTATACCTAAAATGTACCAATAAACTCAATGAGGAAGAAAAACCCACCAGAGTACTTAGTAAAATGTTTGTATTCTGTATACATTTGGAAATGAATGAATATAATAGGACAATATCAGACCTCTCTTTTCTACATTATGATTACTTAGATGTTTGGCTGCGTGCTAAGTGAGGGGATTTTGGTTCTAAAAGTGCTATGCAATATGTTAATATTTATAGGTCATGGTGTTCTTTCCTCTATTTCTATGCAATTGCTAACTTTTTCTTCTAATCCTCTGCACTATTTTAGTAAGGAAGTATATTGAACTGATAATGCATGCATATCATCACATATTATGTGCACATGTACACTTTTTCACATTAGTAATTCATATACTAATAAGGCACAGCATCAGAAATGAGGAGGTTTATCAGTTATGGTCATTTTCAGTTAATTGAATACAATTAGCTAGTTACACAAATGCTGGAATGCTCAAGGGATTAAACAGGAGACAGCGTGGTGACTCAGAGTTTAACAAAAAATTTCTTTCACCCATAGGCCAAGAAGGATAGAGGGAGAAAATGTGTATACTGAAATACAGCTCTGCAGAGTGGGTGAGATGATCAACTCCCTGGAGAGAGTGGGATTGTCTAATAAAGGCATCATCATATTAGTTATCAAAGAAATTTCTGCTGCAAAAGCGAGGTAGGGGAGAGAATGCTATTCATATGAACTTTTTGTCATTTTTCACTGCTATAGAACATACACATGGAACCCAAATGGTGAGTGAATCTGGGAAATGACAGTTCTTCAAATACAGAGAAAATCAGACGATGCATGAGAAATAAAGACCAGTAAGGCAAATGACAGACAAAAGGGATTAAGATGCATATAGTCAATGAATAATTATAGTTTAGAATGATAATTACATTGATTAGTATCTAGATAAGATAGTATGGAAATACAGAATTCTGATAGAAATGGGCTGAGACTGGATTCCTCAAGAGGTGTGGCATTTAAAAATCACTTATAAAAAAAAATGCTACCTACTGATACTTAGAATAGATGTCCTATGCACTGGGATATTTGAATGAATGTATTACCTCAATAGTCATATCTGACTACTCTAAATTAGTGCACTTTAATTCATCCAGCCATTCAGCAAGTAAATAATAACTGTTTGAGGTTAACTATTGAGCTTATTGTGTGTTTATTAAAGTTAAAATAGGTAAATGATGTGTCCAGGAAAGACATCTGGTCACTTGTTAGCAGGTTTTAAACCTGTTTGTGTGACCCAAGTCCTTACTATTTGTTTTATTTAATACAGACCATCTTCCTTACATATATTTCCCCTTTTTACTGTCCTTTCCTTTCTTTTAATTTTTCCTTTTTTCTGATTAATGAATACTATATTAACTGTATAAAATTAAATGGTATGACATGATAAAGATTTTCGTTGTCAAAATTCAGAACTTTGGGTTGGAGATTTTGCTCAGTGGTTCCGCTGCCTGCCCCACAAGAGCAGGGTCCCAAATTTGATTCCTGGTTAAAAAAAAAAAAAAAATCAGAACTTTATCTCCTAGCTCTGCTGAAAGCTACAGTATTTGGAAGTATTTCTCTACTAAATCTAACTTTAAGCTAATTAAAATCAACATGGAGTTCTATGATAACTTGATGCCCCATGGACTGTATCTCACTTTACATCTTTTGACTTCTCATTAAATGTTGAGGTTAGGAAAGTTCCTTCCTTGATCTACATCACTTTTTATTTGTCACAATCTTTCTTAGATTTTCTTAAAATCTTAAATATAATTTTATTTTGGAATTTCACAACTCCTACATTTGATCTCCAGCTCTGACTTCTCAACTCAGTGTCAGATTTACTCACCAGAGTGTATACTGAACTGTTTCATATAGGTGTCTTTCAGGCTCCTCAGACTCAGCAAGGCCACTTTTATTTTATTTAATTTTATTTGCTGGACCAGTTCCTCTTCTGGTATTTTCTGCTGTAGTCAAATACATACCCACTGGCCCTTTCACCTGAACCTGAAACTTAGTCTTCCTGGCTTCTCTGGTCCTTGCCAATAATCAATAATCAAGATTCAAGTTTTGCTTGAATCTTCCTCTATCTTTTTTTGTTACCGTTACTATTGGCAAGAATCAGGTCCTTCTTATTTATCGGATGCAAGTAGAAACTCTTCTTTCCACTTTAAGACGTCATCTCATTCTACACAGGCTCTCCAGGCAGCCTGCATATAACAAGGATGAGATCCTGTTTCCCCATTGTATAATCCACGTGAGGTGGAAGAGAATTCAAGTGAAAAGTGAAATCTTTGGAGTTAAAAAGGACCAAAGAATATTTCTAGAGCTTTCAATATTTGCCTAACATTTTTTCAGAACTAATTTTCTTGTTTATAAAATGGGCTAATGATTCTACCTCATAAATATGCTACAGGATTTCAAAGAGATGTTGGGAAAGTGCATTTTTCTGACATTTCTTAGCAAATGGTAGGGGTTTATACAAAAAACTGTGACCTGTTTCTCTATGCCTTGTTCTGTTCTGTGTTCTTGACCTGGTTGTGCATATTCATTTTGGGTTTCAAACTTAAATATCTAAACGTTCCCTTTAGAACTGCTCATGGATGCATAAAATACATTACGTCTCAGACTGAACTTGCGATCTTATTCTAACCTTACTCTCAGAAACATGGCCCTCACATGGGTTTTCCTTGTCTGTGGCTACACTGCCGTCACGGCTAAAGCCTACTAACAGAGGTGGCACTGGTACTTCTCTCCTTACTGTGACAAAACTCTTGTGTACTTATTAGAATAAGTGTACTTCTTCTACTTCTAAAATCCACTGAAGCAGTGAAATGAGAATAGCTCTTTCAAAGCACAAGTCAAATAATTCCACCTCCTTTCTCCAGTTGTTCATTGCCTTTGGTTGGCTTGTTGGAAACGAATCATCTGTTAACATCTGTTACCATAGCAAACATCATTTATGGCTTCTTTTCCTACCGTATAATGCTTCCCATTGGGATCAGAAACACAGCCATGTTATCTTTCAGTGGATAAATACTTTCAAATTATAAATCTCTTTCGATACATAAATAAATATATAGCTTGAATTTTTATCTCATTATTTTTAATCAAAGTTTGTTAAATTCATCTGCATTGCTATATGCTGCATCCCTATTATTTTCTTCTCCCTCTTCTTGCTCCATTTAATTCCAGCTATGACTCCCTCCCCCTTTCTTCCTTCTTTCTTTCTTTCCTTTCCTTCATTCCTCCCTCTTCTTCTGACTCTTTCCCTTTTATCTCTCTATTCTCATCTTTCACTCCTTGCTTTTTTATTCCTTTCTTTCTTCCTATTGTGCAGATGGATGCTATAATATTGATATTATAGTATTATTTTGGATTGAAAAATGAATAAAGTGCCATGTGAACGTTAAACTTTCTCAGAAACCCTGTCAGTCTTAGCCTTGCTGAGTAAAATAAATCTGCTGCTTTTCCTTTTTTAGTAATGACATAATTTTAAACGATGATGTTATAATTATTTGTTATTTTTCTTTATCTCTCATTAAAATACTCTTGCTATAATCTATGTTCTCAAAGATATTTTATATTTGTAAAACCTTTCAAGGACATGTATTATAACAGAGGAAGAAAAAAACAAGAGTTTTGTAGTTGAAATAAGAAAGTTAACACTATGGCAGATACATGTATTCTGCCTTGATTATTATTTTTTCCATTTAAAAAAACATTATTCATTTGGTTAGATGACCAAATTAAAGAAATAACCAAACATACAAAAGCCACCAACAAATGAATGGATAAGTATTTATTGTCTTACCAGCAGAATTTAATCCAAATGAAGAGAAGGAAGGCATAGCTAGAACCGTGAGAGACTTAATCCATTTTGTCTTTGTGATTATTCTGCACGTTCTGGAGACACAGGAAACCCATCCATGCTCTCTTAAACTGGAGCACAACAGGCAAATCCCTTCCAATTTCTGTGCCCCAATTCCTCATTTGTATAATACAAATTGAGGAAATGATATCTAATCAACCTACCACGGGGTCATTCCCAAAAGTGTATAAAGTTTCCCAAAAGGGACAATTTGTACAGCTGGAATGGGACCTGAAGATACCTAGAGGATGAGCTGAGCGCTGAAGTCAGCATCCTAAGCTGGTGCCAGGACTGACAAGAGCAGGTGCAGCTGTCATCGATCAGGCCTCACCCCGTGGAGCCACACCCTGGTCTTGGCCAATCTGCTCATAGGGGCAGGGACGGCAGGAGCCAGGGCTGGGCATAAAAGGCAGGGCAGTACCAGCTGCTGCTTACACTTGCTTCTGACACTGTCGTGTTCACTAGCAAACCAGTAACAGACACGATGGTGCACCTGACTAGTGAAGAGAAGGCTGCCGTCACCGGCCTGTGGGGGAAGGTGAACGTGGAACAGATTGGTGGTGAGGCCCTGGGCAGGTTGGTATCAGGTTATGAGACACTTTTGGAGTCCAGTGGAAGCTGGGTGCTTGGAAATAGAGAGGTTTCCTGCTTTCTGACAGGCACTGACTTTCTTTGTCCCCTGGTCTGTTTTCACTCCTCAGGCTGCTGGTCGTCTACCCATGGACCCAGAGGTTCTTTGAGCACTTTGGGGACCTGTCCTCTGCTTCTGCTATTGTGAACAACCCTAAGGTGAAGGCTCATGGTGCTAAGGTGCTGGCTTCCTTCAGTGAAAGCCTGAATCACCTGGACAACCTCAAGGGCACTTTCGCTAAACTGAGCGAGCTGCACTGTGACAAGCTGCACGTGGATCCTGAGAACTTCAGGGTGAGTCTGAAGGACTTAGCGCAGTAACATCCTTCCTCTTTCTTTCTACAGCCAAGTTCTCGTCGTGAGAGAAGGGCATTAGTGTTAGGGACTAGTCTAGAATGAGAAAAGTGTCTGTCTGCATCATTGTGGACCCCTGAAAAGCCCTTTGTATGCTTTATTCTGTGCTGAGTATTATTCTGTCCTCTCCTTTCCTTCTTGTTTTCCTCATTTTCTTTTCTGTAATTTAGTCTCATTTATAGTAAACTTTTTCGTTTTCATTTTTATTTGAAAACAATTTTTTTACTCCTCTATATTTTTGTCTATTTGTCTTCTTTCAAATATTTTCTCTAGTGTCATAAAATATATATAAAATATATAAGATATATGATGTTTCTTCACACAGGTTTGAACGACACAGGGACAATATATTTTCTGGCTTAAAGCATGAAGGATAAATATTTCTGTATATAAATTCTGCCTAACATAGGAGAATTCTTATCAGTGGTAGCAGTTATCCAGCTATTGTTTTCTTAGTAGTTTTGGGTTATAGGCAAGAGCACAGTTGGGATGAGTTTGGAGGATTCTGTGTTTAATGAGACGTGTTCACATCTCTCATTTCTTCCCCACAGCTCCTGGGTAACACAATTGTGATTGCCCTGGCCCATCACCATGGCCCGGAACTCACCCCTCCCGTGCAGGCTGCCTTCCAGAAGGTGGTGGCTGGCGTGGCTAATGCCCTGGCTCACAAGTACCACTGAGTGTCTTTTCTTGAAGATCTCTCTATCCCTTGAGAACAACTACTAAACAGAGGGGAAATTCTGGAGTTCCTTAAGCATCTGGCTTCTGCCTAATAAAGAACATTTATTTTCATTGCAATAGTGTGGCTAATTATTTTTGCCTCCCTTAGAAGGAAGGGGGAGGGGCGTTTAAGACATAAAAAAGTGGCATTTAGCCCAGACCTTGGGGAAATGCACAAATCCCTAGGATACCGTGAAAGAAACACAGTGGGGCCATACACAGGTCACATATGTGGGAAGCAGCTTCTGCTGCTTATTCCTTACTCACCACTCAGAAAAGGATTCAAATGAGTGCTTGGCTTGAAGGCTGGGATTTTGCTATATATTATTCTAAGTTGCTTAATTTTTAGCCTTCCTTAAAAATGTCTCTTTTTCCTTGTTGTTTGCCCAAGGCCTCCCCCCAGCCTCTAGTTTGCTAAATTCTCCTGTATTTTACTTTTATCACCAATTTATGCAATTTTCTTTCAGATTTTACTGGCCACATTCCTGCTCCTCCCTGACCTCTCCCTTAGTTGACCCTATTGTCTTACAGATGTGCTAGCAGGGGAGACATTTGGGGAAGGCTGTGATCCACCTTCTCTCTTGTGCCCTTGCTTCCTGCCCCACCATTAACATTGACCAAGTATCTGTAGTGCTGGTTTCTCCAGGACCAGCACTGTTCCATAGTCTGCACTGTCAGCAGTAGATATAATATACTAGGACTTAGCAGACCTAAGATGGCAGCCTTGTTAAGGATAGTTGCAAGTGATAGATTGCTTACCCAGTGCTCACGGCACGTACACTAACTTCCCAGGCCAAGGTAGCCAGCTCAGCTCTTCGTAAGTTCTGCTAGAAGGGAGATAGGAAACCCACACACACCCACTCAAGTTTAATGAGTTGCTCAGGAGATCTGGAATACATAGCTTCTTTTAGTACTTAGGCTCATTTGGTTGGAAACACATATACTTCTCAGGTTAAAATACGAAATTTTATTTGACATACTGAACTAAATAATATTCACCTATCTTGAGAATGTTAGAAGTATACCAAGGTAACTATGCCAGGAAAAGTTCCCAGAGAAAGATGAAGAGAGCATTATGGTGATTATTACTCTTCCAAAGACTATGATTCTGTAAAAAAGTCATAGCAAAACATACAAATACCCTGGAAGCCAAAATGTATATGTTCTTGGACAGTATGGATTAAAAAAAACAGTGTGTGGTGACTCCTTACAAAGGATGAGCCTTATCTATCAGCAGCGTCAGACCTTAATGTGGTGCTATGAAATATTGTCCACTACTGGTCTATCCTGATAGTCAAAAGAACTTGCTGACTAAAAGGTAGGGTATCAATGAAAAAACATAACTTGTTAGTTAAAAGCGTGTGTCAGCTGAATCTGCTCAATTAAACTTGATCTGAGTATTAGTAAAATTGTATATAGAGAAAGTATGAAAGTGCATACTGTCTAACAAATGCAGATTAGGACTGGATTAGCTGACAGGTAAATATTAAAAATGATGGAAAGGAGAGTTGGGCAAATTAAGAGAAGGGGGCATGAAAGGAGTCAACCAAGGAGCCTAAAAATAAAGAAAAAAAGTCTAGATTCTATAAATTACTTCTTTCTGATTCTTTTAATTATTAATAGTATTTTTAAAAATGTTCTATGAAGGAAGTAAATTTTTAGTAAACATTACAGATGACCAAATTAATTAGCATTAACGAATACTTATTTAGCCCAAAGTAAAGTGCTAAATGCCCAGATTTTTATATAACTTGGTAGTATCTGGTTACTGTTCTATTCCTGCAGCAGCATTATCAAGTGGGAGAGGATAATGAGAGACAGCACAGCCTGTTTACAACTTGTCAGAAAATCCAATTTCTATTTAAAGTCAAATAGAATATGGACTTTATATGGACAGGAGTCTCACATTCAGATAGCCATAAAACTGCATAGAACATTTAATTACTTACATTAATAAAATGAGCCCGATTCAGAGTTGTTCCCAAATTATTCTTGCTATTAAATGTGCTTCATAACTTTACTGATTTTTCTCTTAGGATTTGTCTCAATTTTTCAATCTGTTTATCTCTGGGTGATATTAAAAGACATACATTTACCAAATTCTTATAATTAAATGAGAAGAAGGGCTCCTGGAAACGTGGATAAAATAACTTTAGAGCTGAACGCAACCTAAAATTCTGTCGCAGCTAGTCTAGCTGATGGAGCATTGACTAAGAATGAACTACACTTCTATCTATTTAAAAAAGAATACCATTTTAGATCTTGTTAAAACAGATGACTGGTTTCCTTGACAGTGAAAAGAAAATGCACACATTTTTCAGGAAAACTTATGAGCAATGAAGGAAGAGCGCACTGGAAACTTGTAAACAATAGAAAGTCTTAGCACAGCAACATGGAGGGCTAGAACACCCAGAATGCAAGATGAACAAATCTGGGGCGACTTGGGTTAGGCCTTGTGGGAGGCACAAGCATTCCAGACTTGAAAATCAGAATACAAGAAAACAGCAAGAAAAGGAAGTCTGAATCCTTGGTGAAAAAGGTGTTCAACAAAGTGTGGAAGGTTTTTACGGTGTGTCAGAGCAGGAGGGCTGCTCTGTACCCTGATGTAGACAGTCAAAATGCAAGAGAACAATTGCAGGGCATTAGGAGAAGCCAAAGAGCCAGGCCGAGAGGGATAGTGAGCCGCTCTGAACAGTCCCCCCGACACTCCATCTTCATTACTCAGGAACTGCTGATTACTAAAGACTATTTCAGAGCGGAGGTAATGGCCATTACAGTGATCACATGGAACCAATAAAATTCTGGCTGATCCATGCCAAAAAAAAAAAAA